TCTTCTTTGTGCAATAAAGGCAAAAGGGAAAAGTAATAATTGTCATTGATGATCTTATTCTTTGTTTCTATGTCGCAGATATGTCCCGAATTTTCTGAGAGTGAAACAGTTATCGCTGAAATTTGATAAAGCTTAATTGCCGTTTTCCAGGTATTAATCATTTTTGGGGTACACCACTTTGTTTCCGAGTCCCTTACTGACTAAACGAGCACACGAGCAGAGTTGCCCATCCGGCCGGTGCTAATCTCGGGTTTATATAGCGTGAAGTGACTAGGAGTATTTCTACTCCCCGCTGGATAAGATGCTAGTACATTGCAGGGTTACTTCCAACATTAAATTCGTTAGCCTGCAAACAGGCTCCCGGCGAGCCCGCCCCGATCGTATCGCTCTCCGAATTCTTCAGTTTCGCCCTCGTCCGCTCGCTTTCCTCGCCGAATTTTTTTCCGTCCACGCCGTGAGCCTGTTTGCAGGCTATAAATTCGCCGATTCCCATTTTACGCCCGCGTGGAGAGGCACTGTGACAGTGAAGTGTCTTGCCCGAGAACACAACATAATGTCTCCGGTTAGGGCTCGAACCCAGACCGCTCGATCCGGAGTCGCGCGTATTCACCATGAGACCATCACGCCTTCCAATCCTTAACTAAAAGCAGTTCTTATGTTTTTAAGATTAACACAGTACTCTAACACGTTTTACAAAACAAGTCATTTTATATTAGATTTTAGCAATATAATTAACAAATATGGGACAATGAAATATGTTCAATTTATTAAATTGTGATCATAAACCGCGACATGGTATTGTAGTCCTTTTACTCGAAGCTATGTAAACACATAGTCTTCACGTTTCATTCCTTTTCGTTGGTTTCACTTTACAAAATTTTAAAGAAATAGCGTTGGCGCAGGTGTCATGCCATGAAGCAAACATGAACGAAAATTCAGGAGAACTGGAACTTTCCAAAACTTTCCCTGTTTCTGCATTAGGCAATGCAAACATACACGCCACTTTCTGTTCCCTTGAAATGACGGGTCCTGCCTCCCA